AAATACACCTTTTCATGCATAGGGGAGGTGGCATGCATGTAAAAATTGATGTTTTGGTGTCATACATGTAAATACAAAAGAATTGAGTTGTATGTATGTAAACCTTCCTCCTATTTATTTTTAACAGGACCTCAAATTCTGTGTCTTCCGAATGTTTGAATAAATCCTTCCACCATTTTCTGTAGTATGGTTGCCACGATAAACATTTTTAATTTATTTGGTCATTTCTCTTAGGGTCCATAAATTTGCGTAAGTCAGAATATAAGTTTTCTATGAATTTACTAGATTCAGTCATTTGGTTGGATGTAATAAGACATAATTATTCATCTTGGACTCTACAAACACCTTTAAGAACCTCTTAAATGTGATGAATTTTCGTACAAATAAGATGAAAACATACTAATTTCTTTATAAAACAAGATTTCTTTCTACAAGCAACCGGATGAGCCCTTGAAATTTTACAAATGGCGATGGGAGAGAGGGAAAGTATTATTTTTAAATTCAATAATGCTTTTGTATTTGGTTTTACATGTGTCGACTTATGATCCCAACAATAGAGTTATATCCGATCGTGTAATTGGCAGACAATGCAAATTTTTTAGTAATCTTCAATACTGAGACGGATCATTATATGATGTGATGGAAATATGAAAATCTACTTGCATTGACAAGGATAAAAACTTGCATGCATATACGAAAATATACTTGCATTAAAGGATATAATTTTTGTTTTGTTCTTTTGATTGGATATGAAATGGATTAGCCTAACCTCAGAGAGAAAGCAGACGAGTGAATCCGCCTGATTTCGAGCAACCGAATCTCCAACAAAAGCCATTCTCTTCCCTCTAGAAATTTCAAGGAATTCCACAGCACTGAACCTCGGCAACTCGCACCTTGTCGGCTGCCATCTCCACCTCTCATAATCCCCCTTCTTCCCATACTTGCCGCAGTTTTTCGACTCTGGTAAAGTTTTGCATGTCTGGTTAGTGTATCCATGGCTGCTTCCATTATCTCTCACCCAGCTTCCATTGGTAATATCACACCCTGGTTTCCACCCGCCTGATCAGAACCAAATCAAAGCTATCATCAGGTAAAGAATTCATGTATGAATCAATATTCATTCTTTGTTTTTTCTGCAGTATACCATTGAATCTTTGTTTGAGCTCTTTGATTCTAAATGGGGGAGAAGAAGAGTTTTGGGAGAAGATGAAGAAGATGAAGGAGCCGATTAGGAGCCATGGAAATAAGGATTTTGATGTGAGGATCATATTGTAGCAAGGGGAGAAGGGAATGTGTAGCTATATTAATGAAGATTTTAATGGTATTTTTGAAGGAAAGATGCAGGAGAATGGATGTAGTAAAATTTAATGGTTTATTTTCCTGCATGTTGGTTGATTGGGGGATTAGAGGAGATGATATTTGCAATTAGGAGGGGGAGAAGGGGTTCGATTGGTCCACGTATAGGGATTTGAATATTGGTATTTAGGAGGATGTTTCTGCTTATTTTTCGGCTAAATTGGTTGAAAAAAATGGCCACGGTTTCTTACTTGCTATGTTTGACGTTATTGTTGTTGCTATTTTTTTT